GTGTTTTGTAATTTTCTTTGTAGAGGTCGTTTACCTCTTTTGTTAGGCTTTCTCCCAGATATTTGATTCTTTTTGTTTTAATTGAAAAGGGGATTTTTTTTTTATTATTTCTGCTTCTTCTGATTGGTTGTGTATAGGAAAGCCTCTGACTTTTGTATGTTGATTTTATATCCTGCTACCTTGCTAAACTGGTTGATGGTTTTCATTAGTTCCTCTGTGGAGTTTTAGGATATTCCATGTAAATTAACATATCGTCTGCAAATAAGGATAGTTTCACTTTTTCTTTCCCTATTTGGATTCCTTATATGACTTTTCCCTGTCTTATTGCACTGGCTAGAACTTCCAATGTTATGTTGAAGAGCAGTGGTGATAGTGGACACCTTTGTCTTGTTCCTGATCTCAAAAGAAAATCTTTCAGTTTTTGTTGAGTATAATATTGTCTGAGGGTTTATCATATATGGCTTTTATCATGTTGAGGTATGTTCCTTCTATTCCGAGGATTTCAAGGGCCTTAAACATAAATGGGTGTTAAACTTTGTCGAAAGCCTTCTCCGCATCTATTGATATGATTATGTGGTTTTTATTCTTCTGTCGGTTGATGTGATGGATTACATTAATTGATTTTTTGATGTTGAACCATCCTTGTGCTCCTGGGGTGAAGCCCACTTGGTTGTGGTATATTATTCTTTTAATACATTGTTGGATTCTGTTAGCTAAGATTTTGTTGGGGATTTTTGCATCGGTGCTCATTAGGGAGATCAGTCCGAAGTTTTCTTTTTTTGTGTTTTCTTTGTTAGGTTTTGGTATTAGTGTGATGTTGGCTTCGTAGAATGTGTGTGGTAGATTTCCTTCTTTTTCAATTTTTTGGATGAATCTGTGTAGAATAGGCACTAGTTCTTTTCTGAAAGTTTGGTAAAATTCATTTGTAAATCCATCTGGTCCTGGACTTTTCTTTTTGGGGAGGGGTTTGATTACTTCTTCTATTTCCTTGCTTGTAATTGGCCTGGCTAACTTGTTCTTTTTTTTTAGTATTCTCTATGACAATGGCTGACACACCATTAATTTCACAAGTCTGAAAAAAAAAAAGGTGGCATTTTTACTGTGCCCCCACTACAGTATCAACCAACCTATTTGTCTCTCATTTATTCTATACTTAAAATCCATTTTTTTCATTGAAGTTAGAGTAATCTTCAAAAGGTTCAAATCAAATCTTCTACCACCTTCCTTCAATTTTTCAAGTTTCCCTTGGCTTTCAGGTAAAAAAAAAAAACGTGTAACATTGCTTAAAGATGATTCATGCCTCCTTTGCACCTTCCTGCTACATGATACTCCCCCTTGTGATCAAAGTTATGGTTACATCACCCATCTTTTTATTTCAATTGTACGATTTAAGTGATTACCTTTGATTAAATTTAATGTAATGTACAATTCATCTGTATTGATGCATGTAAAGCAGTAGTTGTCTTTATTGCTTTGCAATTTATCTATTCTACTAAATTAGAAACATTTAGCTGCTATTAGCTTGAGGTTCTTATACATATTAATGGCATAAGCATTCCTTTGAATACACCTGCCTTTGAGTGTACTCAAGGATGCATGCATTTCTATATATCTAGAAGTATAATTTTCAGGTCATAGGTTTTGCATATATTCTGCTTTAATAGATTCAATTGTATGTTCTTCAGTGCAAGTACACAATTTCACACCTTCAGTAACAAGAGTATGAGACTTTTCTTTCATCTATTTCATTACCAAATTTTGGAATATCAATTACTCCTCTCCTTTACTAATTTCCTTCTCCCTTCCCTTCCTTTCATTTCATTTCATTCTCTTTCTTCCTGCTACTTGCTCACTCCTTCTTCCCTTCCTATATTTATTTCAAGCTATACAGGTGAATATGTACTTGGATGTCTTTTGTGATGTTATATGAAATATGAAAAGAGTGAAATACTCTTTTGAGTTTTTATGCCTGAGTCTATATTAGCTTTTTTTTCCCCTAAGGAAATAGTTCTGGGAATTACTATACTTGCATTTTCTTAGAAAACCTTCCAATTTGATATGAATGAATAAGGTAAATCTTCTTTGCAAAACATATCATATGCTATATGCATCATATAGTTTTCTTTATTTCTAATCAAATAGTTACCATTTTATGCATTCCCCCCAACACTAACTGTGCAGCAGGCAAAAGACAATAATCACTATTTTTCATTATTTTAATGCTCAGATACTTCAATGAAGGAATAAAAAAAAAATTTCTGGCTGCAAATTCTTATCCAAGGTGAGAAAGAAGTCAAATAAAAACCAGGGCAAAATAATGATCAATTCCAACCACTTATAAAAACTTCTAAGGAAAAAAGAGCATCCACAAAGAGTAAAATTCATAAAGTTAATGCTTTCTAGGATTTAGTTTTATTTCACATAAGATGACAAGGTAACTTAAAATATAAGAGACAGTCCAGTTTGTGAGATGAAAACATTTGTGCATCAATGAGCAGGAGACAGAAACACTGGGGAGGAGATGAGATCAGAAATAAGTAAAGAGAATAGGTGACAGGAACTGACCTGCTGCACTAGAGCACCAATGCCAGGGGAAGTTAAAGGGAACTGAAGAAGGAGGGTGTATCTTAAATGCTAAATAACCAATGAATTTCTGGGCCAATCAGCTCCCAGGAGCAACAAGGGCTGGGCCAGGGCTGGGCATAAAAGTAAGAGCAGAGATAGCTTCTGCTCATACTTGCTTCTGAAACTACCGTGTTCACGAGCAACTACACAAACAGACACCATGGTGCATCTGTCTGGTGAGGAAAAGGGCCTCGTCACCTCCATGTGGGGCAAGGTGAA